AAGCATGCCTGGAAATTCAAAGAAAAAAGTTTCCTTGAAGGCTGGCAAATGCTACACAAGCAACACATATCATCCTTCAAAGCTCCTTCTTAAGCCCCAGAGTTCCTAGTTACTTGCAAGTTCTGGACTAGGGTTTCTCCCAAGATAAGGATTCCTCTGAGCCTTGCCTCCTACTCCACGCTATGGCCCAGGAGAATGACTGCACTCAGCACCCTGGGCCTTGGCCTTCCTCTGGCTCCCTTCCCTGTGACCTTCTCGCCCCCCACCCCCACATTCCCTAGCTCTGAGACAGGCGCCTGGCTCTGGGCCCCTTCTCTTGGCGCTCTCTGCAGGGGTCACTCTGTCCTAAAGAGCAGTTGGTTGTCCTTGTGGCAGCCTCCTTTGCCTTTTTTGGGACATCAGAGATCAGGAAACATCAGGCCAGAGCCAGTTCATCTCTCACAGAATAGTTTTGTTGGGACAGAGACATCTATTAGAGGCATCATTTTGACATAAGCTTTGAGCTATTTGCTCCAAACTGTGCGTGCGAACCACTGGTACCCTCCCCCACAGGAAATGCATTGAAAATGCAAAGGGTATGCTGAGCAGATCTGAGAATACAGTATGTCGTCTACAGCTAAGGAATCAGGGATAGAGGGGTGGTTTGTCCTCACAAATGCTGACAGACAGCTGCAGTTTGCAGCTGGCACTGAGCTTATGCTCGCTAAACAAAGATCTAGCTGGAGCCCGTTGAATACTTGGCTCTAATGCAATAATCATAATTCATAACATACATTTCAGAAAAAGAGGAGGAAAAGAATTAGGAAAAGACCCTTGATATCATTCGGACACTTGATGTGGTCAGAATGTAGCCTGTTTTATTTGTTCATTTTCAACTATCTGGGATCCTTTATTGAGACGGTGGTCATCAGGTCTGTGACAAACAAAACTGCTTTCCGCTTCCAGCAAGACCTACAGATTAACTTTTTTTCCACTTAAAAAAAAAAGTGATGGGAGATTTGCCTATGCCAAAAACCAATTGTTATCACAAATTTTTTATTTCTTTTCATAAATGACTTAATTGTAATCAAATTGCCAAGCTGTTTGCTGTTTCTGAATGTCAGATAACGATATTCTTGGGCAGAGTTCATGTTAGAGTCATAGAAATATGACATTAAATCTGGAATGAACCTTAGAGAACACAGCATAAATGTCCCTAGCTTTTGAGATGAAGAACATGATGCCTAAATTGTTTAAGTGACTTGCCCAAGACTACAGAGTTAGTAAGAAGCAGAGAAAAGATCAGACCCAAATTTCTTAACCACTATTCTGAGTTTTTGTCAGCACATCCTATGGCTCTCTAACCCCAGATTTAATTTTATTAGAAAAACTGTTCCTAAATCCAGGAGAATGTTCCAGAGGAGCCAGTTGTGATGCTCTAGGCGCCCACTACTGGCCCACTCCTTCCAGTGACCAGGAATTTTAGACTGAAATCTAAATGCAGTAATTGGCATCAATTAATCCTATTTTTTTCTTACATATTTAGAATTAGGGAGTTTTAAATATAATATGGAAATATATTTAAATTTACGTGCATAATTATGCATAATAATAATAAAAATACATGCCCCCAAGGGGGGGAATTACAGTAGCCTTTCTTTTGATATGTAGCAATGCTAAGCGTTTTGCTATTATCCTTTTCTCTAGCTTTTGGTAACCTGAAATCTGTAATAGATTATTATTATTTGGGGTTTTGAGCCTTCACTTCCTCTGAGGGAAAAGGATTCTGATGCCAAACGCCAGGACACTCCTCCATAGGCAGATGTCAGTGACTGCAGTGCTCCGCTGGATATCTTTTCCATGTGTTTCAGCCTAAGTGAGGAGGGAATATAGAGAGGACTGAGCTAAGGATGGGAAAATGCATTTCGCCAAGTTCCAACCCCTCTGAAATTCTAACTTTTGGACTATTGAACAGGCTGAGATCTTGGTTTTCTTCAAGCTTGTTTACTCTTGACAAAATGGAACTTCTGGTCTTGGAAAAATGTCTCTGGGTTTTAAAGGTCTCAAAAAGCTTCTCGAGACATTAAGTACCTCTTACATAAAAAAAACACAGTGGTGATTTAAGGCCTGAGGAATTGGAAATGCACGGATTAAATGACCTTTAAAATACACATAGGTTTAAAATCGAAGAGAAAATGCACTTAGCAAAAAAGCATTTGGGATTTATTTCTAAAATATGGTTGGAAACATTAAGCAAACTCAGAATGAAGCAGCACACACACATCCTCATTTGACTTAAAGATCTGCTTTAAATAACACAACAGATGTAGCCATCAGCATCTAGTCCAACAGGGGCACTGTGAACGGTGAGAAAGACACAGTAAGACTTGGGTAATAATAAGAACTACTCTCATTGTTATCCCTTAATCCTTCAAACTGTCAAAGCAGAACCAAGTGTAAAAGAGAAATATTCTGGTAGGATTTGCCTCCCTCCTTGTTTTTGTCAAGCGGTTCAGTTAGGAAATTTCCACCAGGAAATATTTCCTTAAATTAGTCATCAGAAAGCAAGTTTAGCTGTTTGTACTCTATGGCACAGGAGAAAAAAGTAAAAACCACCTGTGGACTTTAGTCTGAAAACACTCCTGACAACACAAACAGGTGCTGGCTTATGTAATGACTGAGGAAATGGGGGGCGGGGAGGAGAAGAGCGGTGAATCATGGGTGGGCCCTCGCAAAGGAAAATTGAACTTAATTGCTCCATTGTGAGGGGACGGCTGACCGAGAATTGCTCTGGGTCACAGAACAGTTTGGCAAGAATATTTCTTTTGCCAGTTCTGTGGCCACATGAAATAAACGGCTGTTGGAATACATAGTAAAGTTGAGGATGAAGGTGGGGTGAAGCAGATCTTCACATTCTAGTTTGGAGTTTAATGGTGTCCCCTACACTCTCATCAAGCTTGGCACACAATCAGTGGTCAATAAATAAATGTTTGATAACTGAATAGTGTCTAAACAAGATGCGTGGTGAAAAGTACATAGGTTTTTGTGTTAAAAGTTCCGATTTCGAGTCCCACCTCAACCGCTTAAAAAGTGTGTGATTTAGCCTCCCTGAGTCCCAATTTCTTTATCTGCACTGGAGTGGAAAATGGTTTGATCTGCTTCCATAAAGATTACAGCCAAGAAAACCCTATGGAGCTCAGTTCTACTCTGTAACACATGGGGTTGGCACGAGTCGTAATCGACTCGACAGCAACAGGCTTGGTTTTTTCTATTTTATAATAGAGATAAAAATATCCTGGTGCATTGTTGTAAGGATTCGATAGATACTAGGATGTATAAGATCACAGTGTTGTCCATGTACACAAATAGATTACTATCTTTATCC